ATAATCCTAATTTTAAAAATGGTCTATTATAGTTTAACATTTCTTGGGAATAAATAAATATGCACCTGTGAACCAAAGAAACATAAATTCTGTTTCAAGGAAAAAGAAAAAAAAACTTGACACCTTTTTATCACTCTCCAAGGTCTCAGAAGGATAATTCACTCTCATGTTATGTTGTATTTCACAATCCTAAAGTCAAATGAAATCATTAAAACCATAGAAATTAACTGGTGTTAAGTTCAATTGAAACCCCAAATGATGAAAACTCAAAAGAGCATGTTACTTTTACTCTTCTGTACTAGAAATGATGTTTTGTGGTCTCTGTTGGTTGAAATTTAAGCAGACTACTTTTCCTCAGTTGTCAAGTGAAACAGCCGAACATTTTTTTTTTTTATCAACCTGTGAAAGCATATTTTAAAAAATTATCTGGATTGACCTCTGCAGGAATGGATAAAGTGCTTTACTAGCTTAACAGACTGTATGCATTCATATCAAGAGATGATTCAGGTTCAACTTAGGGACAAAAAGTTCTAACAAATCTGTTATTTCTAATCTTTTTTTATGTAAATTATATTCCAAACATCATTTAGAACAATTTTTAGGCCTAATCTATCTTTGAAAACCTGTCAGAGGCTGCAAATGACTGCACAATGAACCCATGGATTACTTCATGGGAGGGAAAAAGAACATGCAGAAAATCTAAAATGTTTTTGTTACACTTTATGGCCACTGGAGGTCAGTATCTAGTCATGTAATCACATAATCAATTTTTTGTTTCTGTTCAGTGCTAAATCAAAAAAAGTAATTGTAATGCAAGAATCAAAGTTTACACAACAATTTCACAAAAAAATGCTTCAAGATTAACACAAAAAATAAACTTTATATTGATACCACTGGTTCTCTATTTGACAAAAACGTTTTTATTTATTTTTTTTATTTTTTACAGTAAATCACTTTAAATGTTGGCTTTTTTATTTGACTAATTATGATCTGAGAGTTTATGATCATAAGGCTGTTTCTATGGAGGTGTCGTCTCTACTGACACCATAGAAGGCAAACCAAGGCACCAAATTTCCCTGAGAACTCTAAAAACATCAACCTGGCCCTATTGGCCATGAATTTCAATCATCACTTCTTCACGCATTTGTCATCAATGTATGATTCAGTAGATTTATAGAAGAATCCCTGAATGAACCACTAGATTATCATGCACCTGTTGAAAGTTTTGCTCTTTCAGCCTCCCGGTTTAACTGCAACTGTGACATAAAACAGCTGCATTTAACTAAAAAGAGATTACATCAGCTTTGGACTTACTTTGAACAAACATGCCTATGGAAAGCATCGACATGCCTTCACAGAGGCCCTCTGGGAATCGAAA